AAAAAAAAAAAAAAAAAAAAAAACAGAATCTTAATGAGTTTATGGTTTATTTGATGTGATATGGCATTTAATGATTGACTACTTTCTGATCCAAAGATTAGTTGCATCAGTTAAAAATAGGCATTTTAACTGAGACTTAATGTATTAAGTCATCTTCCATTTCTTTTATCATGATATTACTTTCTATAGCTAATACATTATTACATTTAATTTCACGTGCCAAATTGGGTTTTCAAGCAGCATCAACATCTTAAACTAATAGAGGAAATCTCATTCTTACATGCTCGCTTGAGTCAAAGTGATGCATCTTGAATTCCTGTTACCTGTACATAGGAGCTAAGTTGCTCAGACACCCGAGCTAAGTTGCTCAGACACGGGTGCGGGTGTTCGACACGGGTGCGGATCTAGAGGTTGGATCCTTCGAGATGTAAATTTTTAGATTGGGGATACGGATCCTAGCATGGATACGAGTGCGAGGATCCAGCTAAAAACAATTTTAAAAAATAAAAATATCTCTAAATTATGAGAAATTTTGTGGAATACTTACGTATAGTTGGTAAAGTATAGATTTCTTTTTATTTTAGGTTGTAGGTAAGCAAAGGATAGATTTCCTAGATAAAGTATGCTATTTTCTTCAAATTTACCCTAGTGTTGGTTCTAATTTCGGGAATCAAATTGTATCTCGTCTTGAATTTTTCCGTTCATCGTGGTCAAAGTACCCAAAATTGTTTGACCAAATCTGGTGGATCCCATGCCCACACCCATACTAGTGTCGTGTCGACACAGTTGCGACACCTGAACTGCCGTGTCGGAGCAACTTCGCATAGGAGCAGTTCAGAAGCCTCTGTCCATTTTTTTTTTGTAAGTGCTGATATCAATTCAAATACAATAAGACTTTTTTCCATTTAAGTAGACTGAGAGGTTTATTGACGATTCTACTCTTAACACATGTAATATCTGTAACCTGAACGTTAGTATTTTTCTGTTGATTTAGACTATGCTCCAAAAGTGTTCCCCCCGCCGCGCTTTATTGATCAACTGGGCGGAGGGAGTAGGGCGGTCAGAGTCTTATAAATCCCGTCGTGTCACCTACCACCGCTTTTTGCAGAAATTCTGATCCAATCACAGAGTCCACTTGCCTTACCTTGAAAATACTATTCACAAACACGTGGGTTAGGAGAAGAGTGGAGAAAGATGAAATACATATTCAGAGAATGGCTAAAGATGATTCCTTACTGGAATTTTGTGCAAAGACTGCTTTTCCGACTTCCTCATTGGCAGAGGAATGATGCAAAATAGGTTTAGTTGGCAGTAATTGCATGTATATATTGTGCAAAAAGTGCATTTACTGCTTCCTTGTTGGCAAAAGAATGATTAAGATATACATAGATGAGACCTTATTGCTTTGCATGCTCCATTACAAAATAATCACGAGTAGTGATTTGGCTTGCATCTGTACGAATTACAACTGTTTAGAGCTAGCTAAAGATTTTGCGAGTCCTTTTACGGCATGACAACATGAGAACTATAGTGTTTTTTCATGTAGATATGCTTATTATTGAAGTTGGATTTCGTTGGTTGTAAAGAGTAGTTCGAAATAGATTAGCTATTAAGTTTTGGCACCAGTACTATTGATCTGTTGAGTCCCAACATCGACAATGGTATCAGAGAAGGGTCAATGCTGAGCTCGGTTGCGTGAGCTTGTGACCCAAGCGGGGGCAATAAGATGTTGGGACTCAACATGATCATTGTTGTAGTCTCTGGCAACCTTAAGTTAGGCTCAGGTTAGATCGTTTGGGCCAGATGGAAGTTCATACGAGAGTAGCTATTTAAGAGGAAAACAAGGTTAGCGTAAGTGTTCAATGATAATAGAATGTCCTTGATTACGTAGAGATAAATGGTTTGACAGTTGAAGAGTTGGGGTAACAACCTTGGATTTAATGGTAGAATACAATTAGAGGTGACAATGGGTGAATTCTTCCCATCGCCGGGAACTTGTCCTAGTAGGAGGTACTAGGTACCACTAAATTAGTCAAGGTGCAATGCAAGTTGGTGTGGATATAAAAGAAAAAGAAAAAGAAAATCGAACTTATAAGCCTTCTGATTTCTTCCAAGTAATGTTATGGAAAAAATCATTGAAATTTGGATGACCTACTATAGATTTTAAAAACAAGGTCTATCCAATAAAATATTAGGGGTTTTGCACTGATCTCACAAAATAATTGACTTATTGGTCAAATGCGTTTAGAAAGAGCCTATTCCCTGCTTTGAACTTTCTATGTATGTCAAATGTGTTGCTGGTCGAAAATTTCGCAATCAAAATACTCATAACATCTTATTAATGCTTTGCCTTTTCATAAAAAAAAAACAAAAAAAATTAATGCTTTGCCTTGTCAAAAAGAATCTTATCAATTCTACGGTCTAAATTGGATTCCTTTTTTTGAAATGGTTTACTAATGGATGATGTCCTTTTAAGGAGCCATTAAATTTGATAAATTCTAGAAAAGGGCATGCCATGTGATATGAAGCGAAAAAAGAGGCTTACAATGTGATGGATTAGAGCTTGTAGTCTTAATTCCAGCACTTTAAGATGGAAATAAGAGGATGAGTCGGTCTCCCTCCGATTTCCTTTTTTAGTGGCCAGAGTGGTATCAAATTCTGAACCTAATGAGATGGAGTTTTTGATTAAATGATTAGATCATTTGAAGCTTTTGTGATGTATCTTAATCATGGCACAGTTGGTTTTTGTTGAACGGGATTGAACTTAGTATTTTTTTCATTTGTTTTTCTTGAAGGAATCAAACAATTTGGGGTTTGGGGGTTGAGGTCTTCTTTGTTGCATCTATGAAATGGAAAGAGGATGTATTTGATCACTGATGCCTCTTCAACACCCACTGATAATGAGAATGGGGTTGATAGTACACCATTATGGAAGAAATATTTTGCTGCTGTGATATTCTTCTTGTTTATTGGCTATATATCTCATTCTAGATGAGCTTTTAGACAGAGTAATCCCTGTGTGATATCACTTCTATGTGGTTAAACGGGCAGCAGAGCCCTTGTAATTTCAGATTGCTTACATGGTGCATCAGCTCTGGATCCCAACAGGAGCTTCTAACTTGTCTCCAGCAGGGAAAAAGGTCTTATGGTTAATTCTTCAATTGTTTGAATAACAGCTGGGACAAGCTTTAAGCACAAGGCCAGATATATTACCGAAAGTGTATTGTCAAGAACTTGCAAAGTTGCAGGTAAACTTAATGCTTCAATGGTGCTGTTAGGGTCATCTCCTAACTTACTATTTCATTTATTTTTGCTCTGTCCCAAGCATGTATCATCTTTTAATATTGTATTACACAAAAGATATGCTGGACCTCACACTTTCATTCAAAAGAAAGTTTCAATTCTTAATTTGACTTTTACGTGTACTCTGTAAAAACCTTAAAAAATCTGGCCTTATTGCTTACTCAAATTGGGAGAAATGAAGTGTTGTACCCTTGAAAACTGGATAGACTTCTCAACAGAATGTATTATTCTTCAATTTGTCATTCACATCTTGCCAGGATCAAATCCCCCCATTTCCAACTCATGTTGCAAGAAGATCTATCGAGTCCCAATTGGGTGTTGGCGTTTCACAAGTATTTGCTGACATTAGCAAGGAGCCAATTGCCGCAGCATCTCTGGGGCAAGTATATAAAGGTTAGAGCTTGAAATTTTTTGTGATTCTCTGCCACTCTCTATGAGTGGTTCTCTAACTGCTAGTTCTATGGCGTTTCATTACTTCTCACTTGCTTCTCCTAACCTTTTACCTTATCTTCCTTTCATGCCTTCCTTTTCCCCTTAATTTGTGTTGAAAATAAATCCACGAGGGGAATGCAACGGGTTTTGGGTTTTGGAAGAGTGAGTGCCGGGCTTCAGGGGTACACGAGCTTTTAATGTTTCTTCTTGGCTTCAAGTTTTGCAGCTCATTTGCATTCTGGAGAGCTTGTGGCTGTTAAGGTCCAGAGGCCTCATATGTCACATTTACTGACGCTTGATGCTATGTTATTTCACATGATTGGTGGCCAACTAAAAAGATTTGCAAAAGCTCGTAAGGATCTCTTAGTAGCTGTCAATGAGATGGTGAGATTCCAAATTTCCATCTTATGTTTCTGTACTTCGAAAGATGATTCTGGCAGCCAATTTGTCAGTGGGTGTGATGGGTTATACATCAAGACTGTCTTTATTTCAGAGAGTACATTACAAGTCTTTTGCTAATTCTTTGGGATAATTGTGAGATGAATTCTGATCGAGCTAATGCATGTATTAGTCAAATTTACCAGGCTCACTTGATACAGCTCAATGAAGCAGTTGCAACAGTTAACAAAATATCCTGACTAGAAACTGAACAAGTCAACCAATAGCTATTAACGAAGATGAAGAGATCTCAACGTTACTCAAGCGATGACACTATCATTTGGCCAATAGTTCTTAACCTATTTTTTTGTTTAGAGAGATTAAAATCAAAGAAAGCTGGCAAAGTTGTTAAGAATTGCTTATTGCTCAAGTTTTATGTCTCATTTCCCTATTGGTTCATTATCCTCTTATTTTCCCCATTTGCTGTAAATATGAGAACAATGTTGCGCTTTATTTAAAAGCTGTCTATTACATACTTGCTAACCCCTTAGGTTTTGCTTGAATGGATAGGTGAGACACATGTTTGAAGAAATTGACTACATCCTGGAAGCACAAAATGCTGAAAGATTTGCATCTCTTTATGCATGCAGTCGTAAGTTTCTTCCAGACATTACTGTTAGTAGTTTTGGTGATATCACAGAATTATCTTTTTTCTCTTCCATTTTTATTACTAGTTGGTACAAATGTAGATTGATTGTCATGGAATATATATAGGGTCTTGACAGGATAATGTTAAAGTCCAACTGGATATTCTAATGACCTTATTTGTCTACCATCGAAAGCTTAATGGGCTATAATTCTACCCTTCCTAATATCTAAAGAGACAGAGAGCTAATCAATCACTCTACATTTGTGCTGACTAGTCATAAGAAATGTGTAGTCAGATAGCAACTCCAGAAATTATTCTATGCTGTAAAAGTCAAACAGGACATTACTTTTTGATACGAGGAGTATGTTCCCTTGTTGATGTATTTGATTCTCACAGCAATGAGGTTTTTGTTTGCTGCGAAAATTTTCCAGTTATAGCAGATTTAGGTTATGATAAAGAAGTTGATGCCTCCTAAGGATAACCTGCAGTTAATTTAGCATAGATGCTGGTTAAATTCTCTTTGCATGGGCTTTTGGATCAATAGATTAAGGAAATCACTTTCTTTATTAAAAAAGGATGAATAGATTAAGGAAATTAGTATTAAGCAAGCATGGTACGATTAATCAAAATGGATGCGGAGTGAGGGCACTGCTGATGTTGTTTAGCATCGAAGAGAAAGTAAAGCAGAACTGGCAATGCATATAAACAAGTATAGATAAAATTGATTCCAGATTTGTACTGTTTCTTTGATAATTTCATCTTAATAGGGATCTTTGCACTTATTTACTTGACTTGATGAGTAAGACTTCGTGAATGGTCTCTCTCTATTTTGTTCTTGTTCTCTCTCATTCTTTCTGTCCTTTTTTCCTTTCTTTCATCTCCCGTCTGCTTTCCTAAGATGCGTCACTTAGAACGTGTTTCAATTGCCTTTAAGCTGGTCAAACCAACATTTAAGCTTTTTAGCTTTTTTCAGTAAAAGTGCTTAAAACAAGTTAAACACTGCTTAAAACAAGCCATAAGCTGGCAAATCCAATTTATTGCTTTTTGGCTTTAAAGCTATTTTAGTTTGACCAATAATTTTACCTTTTTATCCCTTATATTTGTTTCTAATTCCAACAATACCCTTCCTAGATTACCGTTTCCTTTTCTTTTCTTCCTCTTCCATCTCAGCGGTTAGCCTGTTTCTTTTCCTCTCTCTTATAACCTCTTCCTTTCCTCCACCTCTGAAGCCATAGATCCGAATAAACCTTCAGAAGTTTAGCAAAAACTGGAGAAAGCATGTCTAGATACTTCTAGTCACACATAGTCATAGGTATGAAGTCACACAACTAGATCGACGGAGCACAACTGGTCAACTATGTCGTTTATTTGACCAAATAAAGGAAACGAAAAGAAATGAAATATAAGAAGACCTCAACTGGCTATAAATCAGTCTCTCTCCATTGGTGCAAATTCTAGGTCTGCATAGTGTACGCTGGTTGTTTTATGGAGATGGGGGAGGAAATGGGTTTAGGGGCTGTTCGCTTTTTTACTTAAATTGCTTTGATTTTTCTATGTAGCAGTTCCTACCAACTTGGAGTATTTATATATGTATTTGACCTAAAAATTATCTCTTGTAATCAATATAGAACAGAAAGTGAACTGAAAATAAATTATTTTGTATTTGAATTAACAATCTTGGAATAATCAGCTCTTTTACAGTGATAACAACCTTAAGGATATCTCAGTACAACTCAATAGCGCTTTTTCAGTTTAAGTACTTCTATCCAAACACGTAACTTCTTATTTACAAATCTAGCTCCAGCACTTCAAAAGTGCGTCAAGTGGTTATAAGCTACTTTTTTACAGCTAATCCAAATGGGCTTTTAGTTGTAGAGTACAATGAAATAAAATCAATATTTTCAGAACCTTAAAGTAAGTGAACTTAATGCGTGTGATTTTTTTAATGCTCAGTGAATATTTCCTTAACATTGTTCACTTCAGTTTATGCTTACTTAGCTTTTCGGTTCAGATAAAGAGAAAATTGTCCCAGGGAGTGCAGCAACTGATAATGTCGCGTGTCAGAAAAATGATGGTATCAAGGTCCCTAAAATATATTGGAACTTTACTCGTAAGGAGGTGCTTACGATGGAATGGATAGATGGGATTAAGCTGACAAATGAAAGTCGTCTGAGGAAGGCAAATCTAAATAGGAGGAGACTTATTGACCATGTAAGTAGATATCTTTCTTAAACAAAAAAAAATGTTAGTTGTCTTTCTTAGTAGAGTGTATCTGCTCCTCTCCGTGCTATGCTTAAGCTTTGTGAATTGTGAAGATAACTTTGTTTTATCAGGGGTTATACTGCTCATTGAGACAGTTGCTGGAGGTGGGGTTTTTCCATGCTGATCCTCATCCTGGGAACCTTGTTGCTACTGAGGACGGAGCTCTTGCCTATTTTGATTTTGGCATGATGGGAGACATTCCACGCCATTATCGTGTTGGACTTATTAAAGTGGTTAGCTCTAATGATAAATTCTCATCATTCATGGTTGACTCTTGTGTTAAGACCTATGTTGAGCGGACTCTCTAAAATAATGCCGCACCCGTGTCGGATCCCCCAAAAATACAAAGGATCCGACACGCACCCGGCAACATTTCTGGATAGTCCGAGCAACATAGGTTAAGACTTAAGTAGGATTATTGGGCTATAGTTCTGATGCATTTCAAGTGGTCAAAGAAATTATTACGTATGTGTTTGAGTTTACGTCATCACTTTTAGCTCAAATTAATAGTGGCCAGCTTCATTAATTGTTTGCAGTTACTGACACCTGTTGCCCTTTATTTTTTCTGAATGTCTTTGAGATACTGTTTTATTGTATATCACCGTGTCCGTTGGTCCATCAATTATTTCATCTTTTAATTTGTTAGAGAATGAATAATCTTTACTTCTTTTAAGGTGGAGAAAAGACAACTTATACCTGCTCGTAGATTTTTGTTACCACTCTATTTTAAAGCTTAAGTAGTTAGAGAAGAAATAGTTCTATTAAGTTATTTTAGTTCTGTTTCTTCTACTAGATTTTCTTTTTCAAAAAGCAGTTTCTTGCAATCCATTAAAGACAATGAAGTCCTCGTGAAATCATCTTTTGGGATTTTCTTTGGGGCACCTTTTTTTTTTGGTTGGAGTGGGCTGAGCATGTACTCTTTAGATATTCCTTCTACCTAGTTTCCGTTCCTATTTTGCCTGAGCATCCTTCTTTGATTGAGATTTTCTCTGAAACGAAAGGAAGGAAAGGAGTTAATTAAATCTGTTTTCCTTGGAACACTGAAACTGATGGGACCACACTAAAGATATGTAGACTCTGTAAGGCTGGGGGACTATGTATAATAGTGAAGCATTTATTATTTTTATGCTAGTATTGCCATTATGCTTGAATGCTGTGATAGCAAATGCTTTGGGCCTCTAAATATAAATCACAGGTCTAGAGGCCTTATAACATTTTAATTTTGTTTATCCTCTCAACTTTTGCCCAAACCTTTTCTTTTAATCCCTTTTATCTTTTGAGCATCTTGGTTTCTCCCTTCTTTCCAGCCCAATTAGCTGTTTGTTGCAGTTACTCTCTGATGCATTGATGTCCCATTGCTCGTTTATTTTCTTTCATATATCTTCTCTCTCCCTTCATTTGACTTGTTTTTTCATCATTTTCTTCCTGTACTTAACTGTGTGCTCTTGCCAGTAATGATGCCCTCTAAACCTTCATTTCCCTCCACCACAAGGATTCTTGTCCTTTCCCGGACAAGAAGAAAGCTCTGCCCATTGCCTGCCTCAAATCCCATTTTAAGCCAAAACAAATATAATGATAGAAAATCAATGTCGATAATAATACAGGCTTCTCCATACAATCACAATTGAGCCCCACCATAATCTTGTAGCAAAAGGATGACGGAGTATGAATGTGTGATATTTGGCATCTGAATCTGTAGTATGTGATAAGTGCTAACCTAATCTGTTATGAGATAGAGACCTTGTAATTAAAGCATAAGCTGGGTGAAACTTTGATTTCTTGATTTCCGGTAAAAGCACAAAAAGGAAAAAAGAAACATATTAATCTATATTAGAATGAGCTAAATAAGATGAAACAAGATTTGCTAGTATCAGACCTGACCTCACAAAAGCCCAAATTCTTTTTTGACAGCATCCGATTTTGAATATAATTTGAGAAGGAACCGAGAGCATCATAAGTGAATTAATTGGGTTATGATGATAAAAGTTTGGCATGTATTGAGTTGTAAAGAGTCTTGAATGACAAGTGTCACCCTTCCCATTATTCAGGATGTGGGAACCTTACGGAACTACAATAATACAAAATGTCTACTAACTATTTGTTCCCACCGTCTCTTTTCAGAGATTTATAAGAAATTTTGTGGAATACTTGCGTAAGTGTGGATCTCTTTTTTATTCTCAAGTTGTAGATAAGTAAATGACTGATTTTCTAGATAACGTATGCTATTTTCTTCAAATTTACCTTACTTTTGGTTCTGATTTCGGGAATCAAATTGTATCTCGTCTCGAATTTTTCCATCCGTCGTGGTCAAAGTACCTAAAATTGTTTGACCAGCTCCGGTACAGATCCCATACTCACACCCATATTAGTGTCGTGTCGACGCGGGTGCGGCAACTAAATTGCCATGTCGGAGCAACTTAGGACTGCACTACAAGAGCTTTGCAATTATTTATTTATTTTTTATGCAAGAGGTTTGCTATTTCTAATATACTTATTCTGTAAGCAAAAGGTTGCATAATAAATTCATTTTTATAGTTGATACGTGCTGTGCACTGCAGCTTGTTCATTTCGTTAATCGAGACTCTATGGGTTTAGCAAATGACTTTCTTTCACTGGGATTTCTACCTGATGGAGTAGACATTCAATCTGTTTCAGACGCTTTGCAAGCGTCCTTTGGTGATGGAACCAGACAATCCCAAGATTTCCAGGTTCTAAACCTGCTCCCTCTTTGTGTGTGAGTATGTTTCTTTTTTCTCTTCTCTGGCTTCCTATTTTTTCATCTATGAATGTAAGTGTTATGGTAGAGCTGTAGAGAAAGACAAACAGTGCAATCTAGTTTATCTACGGAAAAAAAGGTAGCAATCGGGTTAAAAAAATAACCCCCCGAGAGGAGAAAATCACAAAGAGAAAGTCTTTAAAACACTACGGAGTCATTTCATTTAAAGACGAGTTATTTGGGAATTAGTAATTTTGAGATTGTAACACGGATTATCCCTTGATGGATGTCTGTGTTGATGCATTTAAGAATTAGTACATAATAATGTATTAAATGTGTTCACGTTTTAAACAAAATGGAAGTTTGTTTATTATTGTGAGGTTTTATTTTGTCATTTTAGTTATTTTAATGTGTGTGTTACTAATACCCACATACTTATTCCACATTCTACCCCACATAAAATAGTAGATAGATTCCCTCTTAACCAAGCTTCGATCAAATGGATTCGCACCTTTTATATAAAAAGGAAGCATCTCACATCTGTCTCCACACCTAAACAAGCTAGCTGGTTGGTTAGAAAGATCTTTGCTGCTAGGAATTGGTTGGCTGGTAGTGTAAGCTTAAGTGATTTGCTGGACAGTTTCACTATAGCAGGTAACTTCAGCATCAAGAGGGCTTATTGTTCTTTCCTTCCACAGTATCCAAAAGTTCCCTGGAAGAAACTGATTTTGGCTAAAGGTCTACTCCCTAGGCATCATTTTGTTGCGGCTAGTGTTGCAGAATAGACTGTCAACAGTGGATAGACTCAGGAGATGGGGTATTCAAGTTCCTACAGACTGTCTTATGTTCTTCCAATGCTGAGGAGACCCATTGACACTTGTTTTTTTTGAGTATTCTTACTCCAAATGTACCTGGCTTACATTGCTCTCATGGATGGGCATAGGTAGACAGATTGGCGACTGGGATACAGAGGTAAGATGGTTATTCTCTCAGATAAGCAATAGCAGGCCTATATTCATGGTTCTGGGTTTCCTATTTGCTGCAGCTGTGTATCATATCTGGGTAGAGAGGAACTATCGAAGATTTAAGCCGATAGAGAGGGAGAGTGGTGACAGGCTCAAAGAAATTGTCTTGCAGTTGCATATTGTGGGACAGAGCAATGCAAAATTAGAGCAGCTGAATAGATTTCCTTGTTAGTAGGTATAGCTTGCAGCTATATGAAGAGGCTGTGTCTTATACCCTTCCTAAAAGGTGCTAAGGTCTTAGCTACTGATAGCTTATGCAATCAATATCTTAAGTTTGTTTTTGACTTGGTTATTTTTGTATGATCTAGCTCTAGGGTCAAATGAGCTAGTTGTGTATATTGTTTACTTTGGTTAATTTTTTTTCAGTTTTGACCAAAAAAAGAAAAGTAGCAATGAAGTATTGTATTAATAACATTGTTTATGTGGAGATGAATCTATTTGTTAAACCAGCAAACAACCCCTATATTCCTTCTCCGTCTAGGCAGTCAACACAAGTGTGTCGTGGCCTACCAACCATTGTCTGCTCTCATATCATTTGCTCCTTAGCTTTCCATGTTGCAATCAGCTTAACAGTCATAGTCGTAACCCGACAAATCAATGCATGGTGAGCAGCTTCATCAGTTTCAAGCACTTCCTAATAAAGATATTATTTATATCCACCTTGCTTGGGAAGTAGTTTCCTAGTGCCTATTTGGTGGTTAGACTTCATTTTCCTTTGTTGCACATATACTTTTGGAGGATTATATGGATTCCTTACATTTTCTCAATCATTTGTCGAGCCATGGTGGTGACAGTCTCTATGACAAGTGTGAGAACAATGTAAAGAGACGTAGAAGGATATTTCATAATTGTGGGTTTATATCAAGGATCTACAATTAGCCGGTGTTTGTTTACCATGGTCATGAACGAGCTAAAAAATCAAGATATGATTCCATGATATATGCTATTTGTAGACAGATATGTGTTTAGTGATGAGACTAGCGGGGAGTCAACCAAAAGGTTGGACTTTGGAGATGCAGTCAGAGAGTAAGATTTTTTGGATTAGTAGAAGTTGGACAAAATACATAAACTCCATGCCAGCTAGCATAAGAAGAATAAAGTAGAGCTGAGATTAGATGAGATACTTCCTATATCAATGCACTGAGAAATTTCACATTGCCAAAATTTGACTAGGTAAATTTATATTTGTTCATGAATAGTAGTTTGCGCTTGTTTGGAGGGTTTATCATAGACGATTAGGGTGTCATTGATGATACATTGCAGTGCATAAATACAACAATTAAGATATCTAGGCTTAATGCTACAGGAGAATTGTATGTGATACATGAAGATGTACACATGATTAAAAAAAGATGGTTGAAAATGGAGGAGTTAATGGAAGTGTTATGTGATAGAAGTATCCTTGTCAAAGTGAAAGCCAGTTCCTATAGCGTTGTTGCAAGATTGTCAATGTTATATATCCACATATTAGCTTCGTAAAAATGTTGTTCCGAAGTGGATGTCCCCTTGTACAAACATTAGACATGATCAGAAATGATAGTATCACGATAGCATCTTGCAGAAGGTGCAAGTAGCACACAAAAAAAATTGGTGAAGGACGCTAAGATGGTCTAGTCTTGTTCATTGTAGACCTGCATATGCATCTGTGTATACGCACAATTCCACAACGATTGAAGGTCATGAAAGTGGACAAGATAGAGTTGAAATCACAAGTTTTCTAAAAAGACCTACCATCTTTAGGATCAATGCCGACTTAATGTAAAGTAGAACACTATGGAAGCAAAAAACTCATATAGGTTATATCAGTTTGTAGGGTTTAGGCTGAGTTGTGTTAGTACACTTACACTAGGCTTGGTATTTGCCAAGACACTTTGTAGCCTGTTTAGAGATTTGTATTGCCCATAGAAAACAGAAAACTTCTAGTGTTATAGAATTTTCGTATCGGAATAAAATGAGTCCAATGGAGCAGGGTGGATATTGAGTATGTATATAGTTAACTCTAACAAGGTTGGAATTGAGGCTTGTTGATGGCATTGCCGGTTGGTGTAAACGCCTATGTACTTAGTAAAATCATTGAGGCTCTAATATTATGTGAGAGATAAGTGAGATAGAGGAAGAATGTATTTAAACACATATTAACTGGTGTGAGATACAAACCAAGTGTTACATTATTTGATGTGGGTCATTATATCGTTATACTCTATATCTCTACCAATCGTACAATCCCTGGTGGATTGGTTATAGCTGCTTGATTGGATTTCCTGAGTTGTGTGATAAACTTCCTGATATTTATCTAAGGAATATGATATGGATGCACCGTCATTTTACTATAGGATGATTTTTCCTCCAAAATTTGGTGGACCATTTGCGCAATTTTATTTTACCTCCATGGAGGCAGAGGAGTATTAGATTGTTTCATGACCTTGAAAGCTCTAAATGGCACTTCAAATGATTTCAGGGCATAATGAATCAATTGTATGATGTGATGTATGAGTTCAACTTTTCTCTTCCTCCTGACTATGCTTTGGTGATACGAGCACTTGGATCTCTTGAAGGAACAGCAAAAGCATTGGATCCAGATTTCAAAGTAGTTGAAAGTGCATATCCTTTTGTTATCGGAAGACTCTTGGTAGATCCAACTCCTGATATGAGGAGAATATTGAGAGAGCTTCTCATCCGCAATGATGGTACTATAAGGTGGAATCGGCTAGAGAGACTGGTGGGGCATTTATTTTTGTGTTTGTTGTTATACTTGTTTCTGTATGCTGTATTGAAATGTATGTTTTCTACATGTTTGATGAGCTCATTCTTCTTATAACATGTACACAGCTTTGCTTTTGCTTAATTAATTGACTCTCAAAGACCTTACTAGCTGTTGAGTTATCAATTTTTTTAATTTCTTCAAACTGCTAATAAAAACTATTATGTTTGGCTCCTAGCTTTCTGCACCTGACCATTGTTATTACGGATATACTCTTCGTCTATCACTACTTTGTTTGGAAGGTTCAAATTTGTTGCTCTTGATTTGCCGGAAGAATGAGTAATTTTTTTTTTGAATTGGTAACTATTGTATATATTAAAAACATCAGTACATAGGTTGCACTGAAANGTGGAAAAAACCTTTAGGAGATCCATTTATAAGAATGGAGAATTTTACGGCAGATATGCAAAATTTCATCCATCTATTCCATTTCTGCCCAAAACCCATTAGTTCTAACATTCTGAGTAGGAAGCTCCAATTTACATGATCATAAGCTTTCTCAATATCTAATTTGCATAAGATTCCAGGTTCCTTCTTTTTTATTCTTGAATCCACAGCT